GAATTTATTGGGTAAACTTGAAAGCAGTGAAATCCTTGATCCTTGCATCTTGCGGACTTTAATCAGCGGGTCCACAGAATGAGAAGAATATGGAAAATGTTAGATTAGAATGATTATTCTCCACGATTACTTGGCAATCATTTGTGAATATAAAGATATAGAATGAAGAGGAACGCATCGGTTTGGAATAAGATAGGCTGCTAGACCACTCCGCCAGTACCCCAATGTCCTCATAAACTGTAATAGAAGCACTCAATAATCATTGATACTTATTTATTCATGATCGGTCACTACCCAAAAGGTCTTGTTTTTTGTATTAAAAAATGCATAATCACTTATTAACTACACATTTTTCGTATTTTTGTGTTGGATTACTTAATGGTTTACTTTTCTCCTCTTCCAGAATAAAATCGCGAATTCTCAAGCAAGTGAATTCCAATCAAACTCTTTACTTACTCCGTCCACTCAAAGTATCCTTGAGCTTCATGCTAGTATTTCAACTGCCCCTAACCAAGAAATTGAAGAGAGAAAAGAGACAAATGTGTCTAACAGTGTGGGAGAACAGATAATGCCTGAGCTGGACACGCATAGCTCTCTTGTGTTGAATGAAAGAGAAAACATACCTTTCGCTCTCTCTTCTTCTTTGTCATCTATTCAATCTGACTCGTCTCAGGATGAAGCGAGCCACACTTGCTCAGACTTGTCTTCATCTTCCTTTTTATCATTGCATACTATTAGTTCCTTTCACCTTAACTCTCTATTTGGTTGCATCGAGCCGCTTATTCTTTCGCCTACACTCCCTTTCGTTTCTTCATCTTCATTGGCCAACACTTCTCGTGAAAGCATTATCTATCCAGAGAATGAGCATTATAAAGAATTTTCTCATGGAATAAAAGAAATCATCAGCGATAATAAATTGACTTTCACTGACCATTCTTACTCTTGTAACCATGGTAAATCACTGGACGACTTTAGCGATGAAGGTGGCCACGGAAATCATATGGATGGGTATGCTGGATCTTGTCTCATAGAAGATGCAGCTGATAAACGTAGCTCCTTCATTTGCAATCATTTTACACCTCATTATATCCCTCCATCTCCTCAAAATACTTCTTTAATTGACAATATCTCCAAATTAGATGTTGCACCAGAAATGCCTGAGGTAAGAGAAACTGAGCAAATGAATTGCGAAAATTTATTGGAACACACAAGCAAGGCAATGG